ATTTAGTCTTTCCAACCGGAACGACGCCTTATGACACACGGAAACCCCCAGGGACTAGAAGAGTATTTCTATTTTATACTGGTGACCAAAGATGAAACAACTGAATAACAGGATAACACTACCACAGCTATAACAGTTCTACAACTGTAAATACCGAGCATGTTCATCGGCATTTTGTGGCTCCAGCCTTGGACCTTCCGATCTGGAGCGCAGGGTGATAAACTCCGATAATGGGTGTTAGTCAAAAACTGGTGGTTATCCAGAAATCACATTACATAAATTATTCGACACGTGATTCATTTGATTTTTGAGTACGACGTATTGTTTGATTAGAGCAAGTGAATTACTGATATTGTTTTAATAAGTAAATTTGTAAAATGAATTGTATGCAAATATTGAAGAAGTGATAAAACAAAAAGAGAAAGAAAGAAAGAAGCAACCAGGAAAACACAGATACAGATAAACAGACGGACACGCAGAAAAGCAGATTCTCTACAGTGGAAGTTAGGGTTAATTTTCGGAGCGTCTTTAATATGACGAAGAGAAAGAAAAAATAATGAAAGAGATTTGCCTCTGTCGTACAGTTATAATCTAAGTCTCGGTAATTTCCTTATGTTTCTTCTTGTTGTTCGTAATAAAATATCTTTATAAAGCAAATTTTGACATCTTATCAACGACAAACTATTGGAGCGTTTCAATATACTTTTAATTCTTAGGTGTACGTATTTGAAAATGTCGTAAAAAAGTAACCATTTCCTTCGTTCTTTTTTACTTTCTCCATTTATGTAATCCAGTTGATTGTCGTTTAACACTCTTCCATAAATAGCAAAAACCAGTTTTAGAAACATTGCAATTAAGTACAAGTAAACTGCCTAACTTTCACACTAACATGGAGCATAGGTTGTAACTTGCATGTTGAGCTACAACAGGAAGTCATTAATGCTCGAGTTCGGAAATGACGTCAAATGTAGGAACTTCATACAGGATGTCATATTACAGAAACGTGAGTGATTATTTTGAGCCTGAGCTACAAATAGTTTAATTCGCTTTTATAATCTCGTTAAATATATATAACTATAAAGAATCGTGTGAATAAAGTGAAATAACTTATCGTGGTTTTATTCATTGAAGAAGAATGCAAGTGATAATCGTCACTTGATGCACAGTTTTTTTTTTTTGTTTGTTTTATTTACGGATTCAGTAATAATTAAAGTTTGAAAAATAATTAATTCCTTGTTAGATTTTCAGGAAACTGCATGTAAATATTGATGAATATTTGAACAATAACTGCGGTCATGAAACACTCACGTGATCAGTGATAACACCACATTATTGGTGAGTCATCATCTCATGATCATGAGTAGCGATTTGTTTAGTCATGTGCAAATTTGAAGCAAAGTTGTCATCATCTATGCACACGTTGTTAAAAAGCAAAAAGTTTCGATAGTATAAACATTTTTCCCAAGTTAAATAGAGTTTTTGGTCCAAGATAACGATTCACTGTAAACCGACAAAGATTATGAAGAGTCGAAAGATGAAAATGAGAATAAAGTAAAAACGTAGAAGGTCATTTAACTTTGTAATTATACTGCTTATGATCACATGATTTTCAATTCTGTTTTTTTTTTTCCTGTTGTTATTTCCATCATATCTTGGCCCTCACTGCATCCAAATAGACCCAATTTGCTTCTAATTTGAAAAGTTTTTCCGAGGAACATGCCCTTGAATCCCCTAGTTTCCGCTTGTTGAAAGCAGGCTCACATTTTAAAGCTTGATTCATTTTCAATGTTGCCTCCCCCCATATTTTCGTCTTAACATAAGTTTCATGAAAGATGGGGTGTGTGACATAATCCAATATTTTTTGAATTAGCAGTTTGAAGAAGCCTTTGGGGGAACGTTCAGTTTCTTTCAGAAACAACCACAAATAAAACACAATTACAATTAATAACACTTTAGAACTCGCTCAGTGACCAGCAATTTAAGTCGGTGCTAGCTGCTAAATTATTTATTTTTTAAACCTGATTTTCTCGTACGTTAATTACTTCAGGTCTTACTTATCCGAATTTCACGCAGCTCTTAACAGGGGAAACACAAAAATAACCGAATAGTTCATAACACCAAATCATTTTTAACTATCTCTTTGTACTGCTATGTTAATACCTGGCAGTTTGCCGATTCGTACCTCGATGCATCGAGGTTTTTTTGTTTCAGAATATTACAACTCGAAAACAGAGAAATAAATGTTTCAGAATTTTGCGCAAAGCTACAGAAGAGCAATAGCCGTCCCTAATTTTGAAGTGATAGACTAGAGAGAAAGCAGCTAGTCAAAAGTTCCCACCGCCAATTTTTGTGCTACTATTGCGTGATTAATACTGGGATTTAACCGTCACTCTCATGACACACCCACGGATCCAAAGTGCGGAGAACGTTTTTGAAGCCACGGGTCTCGAAACGATAATTCTCGGATTCCAGTTCGGATTCACTAATTACTATGTTACATCCGACCCAAGAAATAAAGGAATAGTGTAAAATCATGAGGTAATTATTTATTCTATCTGTTATGTATACAAGATTTTAGTATTTTTATTGCATGTAAATACAATAAAATACGCAAGATTTTCGATATGTCAGGTAAATATCACTACTCAAGTTTGTAATGTGTTCAAAACGAAGCATGTGATTTCTGGAATTTCTTTAGGGATTTATTAGGTAATATATGATACATATTACTAGTAGACCTAGACTTAGCTAGCCCTTCCTTCAAGATTTTGGCCCGGCATGGCCAGGTGGTTAGTGCGCTCGACTCGCAATCTGAGGGTCATGGGTTCGAATCCCCGTCTCACCAAACATGCTCGCCCTTTCAGCCGTGGGGGCGTTATAATGTGACGGTCAATCCCACTATTCGTTGGTAAACGAGTAACCCAAGAGCTGGGGGTGGGTGTTGATGACTAGCTGCCTTCCCTCTAGTCTTACACTGCTAAATTAGGGACGGCTAGCGTAGATAGCCCTCGTGTAGCTTTGCGCAAAATTCAAAAACAGACCTTCAAAGTTTAACTAGTTTAACAAAGAAAGTCATACACGAAGTCGTTACGAAGAGCTTTGTCTTTAAAACTTTGTTCACTGCTCGGGTCATAATACACTAACTAGGTAATCTAAAAACCTACATATGGTTGAAGAAAGAAAAAATCTGTTCTTTATAAAATTGGCTTGAATAAATTCTGAGCTCCACAGATATTTGAAGTTCGTAGTTTTCTCTCATTACTTTACGGTAGTTTTAAAACAGTGCTTTTATGTTATGCGAATTAATTCAGACCTTAGATTTTCTCATTTAACTACAGTAAATCTAACGTGCGTTTGTTTTCATATTTTAACCGTAAATCTGCTGTTAAAGGTTCAAATGAACACAGAGAAAAGTGAACTTAAATAACAAAAAAATAAAGAAGTGTACGAGTTGAAATCAGATCGAAAGAAAATATGATAAATTAGGAAAACAACTGAGATTATTAGTTTCGCGAATGAACTTAACGATATAACGTTTGTTGTGTTTGAGAATTTTCGCGCAAAGACTATATATACATACACACACAAGGATTATCTGTACCGTCCCTAATTCAAAGTCCAGCCACGCCCGGCCCACGACATCCAGGAAAACTTAACGAGGTTCAAAGTAACAAGAGAATCTTCACTTTAATACACCGTGAAATAATTGTTTGTACCAGTGGCGTAATAAAAAATAATTGGGCCTCCTACATTCATTACCCTATGATTGTAGTTACGATTCCGACTGCTTGATATCATTAACTTAACAGAATAGTATAACCATCCTTCAGTTCAAACAAATTAAATTGCATGTCTCTCCCCGTGTCGGCAATTCGTAAGTTTGTAAGGCTCTTCGGGCACCCTTTTGCTCGCCCCCTCCGTAATTGCTAGGGCATACTTAGGCCACTGATTTGTATCTGTAGAAAATGTTAACTAATTTGTAAATTAGAACACCTGATAAGCAATACTACGTAAAAGTGTCTAAAACAATAAAAACGATTTGTATTTCTCGAAAATTGTCTATTTATTAAATAACCTTTTGTAGGAGCTGTACAAGTCCAATTCACTAAGACGGAGTTAAAAAACGTTTATTCTCTCAATTAAAATGTTTACTTAAACCAAAAATATAACGAGATAGAAACAAAAGATTATACATATATATGTGTGTCAAAGATTTCTTTTTCACTAAAGGTACAACTGAAAAGATAATTTTTCTAAACTATTTATGCGCAAAATTACTCGTTCGTAACGAATGCCTATTACAGGGTCCCTAACAAGTTTCACACAAACACAAGTCAAACAAAAATACCGTTGATATTATAATTAATTCCACTGCTGGGGATTTAGTGTGTATTTTTCTTGGAATATGAGTGATTTCACCCTGTTAGTTCTTTATGCTGATAAGATGTAACAAGCAAAACAAAATAAAATTATTGCCCCATACCCCACCTATATTGAACGGTATGCAAGCAAGTTGGTAATTCGAAGGTTAAATAGCACGACCTCACTACTAAATTGAATATCAATTTGCCTATTTTATTGATTCGGCAAATTTATAACCGAACTATTCAAAATGAACTAAGTCATTAACTCAACATTTTCTTTAAATTCGGAACGATTGTAAACTATCTCGGGGTCAATTCGTAACAGAAACCAAAACCAACAAGTCTTGCTGTATTTTTCTGAAGAAATTTTCTGAGTCAGTTTGTTTCTCAATTCTTCAGAAACAGATTGTAGCTCTGTTCTCACCATATCTTCTTATCCTTGAGTGTTTTGAATTAGAGTACACTTTTAAAGCTGCCGTTAACATATCCGTGCTTAAGCTACAAATTACAAAAATATTTTATCTTGTACTACACAACTAAACTAACTAATTAATCGAAACGTTGGGTTTCCCTTTACGGCTTTGCAGTGCTGTGGGGAAACAAACATGACGGGGAGTTTCTCACAAAAACACTTACCTTGAGGTTGGGTTGGAGTAGGCGAAGGCCACGCCCCTTTATATGACGGTTCTGTAAAGGAAAATGAAACCTAAATCATCGCTATATCTATTTTCGAATTTCTTATGTCTATTTATTTGTTTAAAAGAGGTTTACTGCTGTGTATCCTAATGGTAATATCTTTCATCAGAATATTTTTGTGCTTCATGAAATAATTTATACACAAAACATTCTTACATTTAACGTGGGGGATATAGTAGAATCATAGGACAAATATTCACAAAATTAATCAATTTATATTTGGCATTTCCTTCTCATTTTGATAAAACACATTTTCAGGTGGCAGCTTACCCAGACAAACACTTAACAAATATCTTATAAAACTTTACATTGTCTCCGAATAAAGAAAAAATAATAATAGTTTACGCTTTACCATAATACAAAGTAATAGCTTTTCAACTAAAATTTCTCAATTAAAATCAATAAATAATATTCAACATTAAACTGGTAC